GCTCTCTCTTCTCTCTTCTCTCTCCTCTCTTCTCTCTCTCTCTCTCTCTCTCTCTCTCTCTCTCTCTCTCCTCCTCTCTCTCTCTCTCTCTCTCTCTCTCTCTCTCTCTCTCTCTCTCTCTCTCTCTCTCTTTCCCCTCCTTAGCGCAAAAATTGCATTGGCTATTGAAGACATAAACTCATCATGTGACCCACCATTTACAACGTCATGTAAGCGTGAGACACCAGGTGTTAGGCCTTTTTTAATTGGAAGAATGAAATAAGTAATTTATGTATGGTAAATTGAATTTTTTGGTCGGCTGACAATAAAATTAATCGTGAAATAGTAGTGATCGGGGAAATAGAGGCCCATCAGGTCATCACCGTAATGTGTATGGCTTCGCTCCCGATAGAGGCCCACGGTACTGTTAGGAAGGGAGTATTCCACTTTTTGTACTTTTCACTCTTTGTTCCGTCACACGCGCACGCATTGGTCAGCAATACGAGTCTTTCCATAATCCTCCTGAATAGGTCAGAAAATCGATTTGAAGTAGCCGACTCAGCGGCAAGGATCTCATTTAATTTCCTGCTCACTACTGTGAAAGCAATGCATCTCACTTGGTTAGCTTTTCCAATGTGTGTGTTTCGTAAGGTTCGCATGCACAAATGTGTAAAGCAAATGCAACGAAAGCTTGAAACACTCTGTTTAGACAAAAGACATAGCAACATGAGGACATGACAAGCAAACATCTCCCGCGAGTTCAACGAAATATTATGTCATGGCTTTTTGATTTCTTCCTTGCGGCAATTACCTTAACTCCTCTAGCCTCTGAGCTATACACCTGCGAAGCGCAGACTTTTTCGGGGAGATTATTTCAAAGTCATCCAGGCATTCATGACGTCATAACAGCGCCATTCAAGTCCTGCCATTCCATTGGCCATCCGATGATCAGGGCCAAGAAAAGCATAATTTTCTCGTAGTTCGCAACTGTGTTCATCAGCATGATTTTCAGATATAACGGCCGTCAGTTGGCTCTCAATCAATGTTGTGCAATTTACGATTATATGATCAAGCAATGCCGTTTCGAGGAGCGCTGTTTAGAAATTGCGTTGTTTAAGGCAAATTTTCGCATTCAAAAGTATACTTAATAATTGTGTGTGCGTTTTGTCCTATTTTATGCTCGCTTTAGTACTATAAAATGTGGAGCATTCCGTTGAAGACATTGGACATTGGCAATCGTTCTGGTCCATGGCCGGGTGTTTGTTTTGCCAGATAGATTGCAAGGAGGTGACAAGCGTAGACAGAGTTGAAGGTAATATTTAATGGGTGTTATTCGCCATTACTCAATCATCCGCATCACTTCGTCGTAAACTGTGATGTGGGAACAATGAGTGTAAATCAAATGGGGAGGATCCAAAGCTTAAAAAGCTCATGAAGGCTTAGCATGGTGGTCTGGCTGTTCGGCCTTTAAGAAAATGAAACGCTAGTGTTGGCAATGAAATCAAGTGAGTTTTTGTAATAGCTGGCTACTTGCCTTGGTTAAGGCATTTACTTTAGGCGTGCCCAACGTTTATAGGCGCCTATCCAACAATCTATGCAGCATGTATGATTTGGGATGGGGGGGGGGCGCCGGAATCTATCTAGGTCGCGAACATTTGTTTCGCATATGAACTTTCAGTATGGGACGATGCTTTTTCACCGCACATCAAAGCGAATGGTAAAATTGTAATATCAGGACACCGCATGGAAGCTTTATCATTGTGGAACTGGTGCTATTTACGCTTGAAAAATACACTAAAAGTCAGCCTGATTTGGCGATATTTCAGCGGGGTAGCACCTGGGCTGGGCTTAGGGTGTTTTGAGTTCAGTGAGTTTAAACTTTGGAGCATGCTTGCTTGACAGGTAGTGCCACAGACGGAACAAGAAGGTGTTTCTTCTGGTGCAAGATTCAGGCAGGCTCATAAACATCGTTGGTGCACCTGTCGTTGTTTGCCAGTTGGAAAAACAATATCATGAGCCTAGAGCTGCTTTCATAGCGCTGTCCAATTTATGTTTGGTACACTCAAATGTGCACATTTGAAAATTACTTATATAGAACAAGCCATAAAATAACCTTCTCTGATTTTAAACTGCTCCTGTTGGTGTCACATGCTCTCACAGTGTCATAGAATTATTTCCAGTCACGAAGTGCATTGCCATGCAAGCTGATTTTGCTTCTATTGCCTGGTAATGAGAGCGAAAGGTTGTTGGCTTTAGAAAGAAGTTCCTGTGAAACTCAGTTTAATTTCTTCTATTCCTAATTTCCAGCTTGGCCGAATGAGCTAAGTTTGCTTGTTTCAGAAGTATTTTGTGTTCCAGTTTGGGCAATTTTTGAATGCGTGTCAAGTGGTCTCAGTTCAGTGGTAAATAATTTGCTGGAGTAAGTTAAGCAAAGCAATGCCCTACATTTGGAAAAGTGGGGATAATACCTCCTACATTTGAAGCTATTTTCAGGATGCCTTTGGCTTAGACCTATTTGTCATGGGTTGTAAGTTGGAGGTTTGCCACAATGCAACTCCCACCAGGTAGGTTGAAGTTGCTGTCCCATGCAAAACAGGCCATACCATGTGTGGTCATATGGGATCTTGATTTGTGATAATGCATCAGTTGGGAAGTGTAGTTATTCACATTACACTGCTGCCAAGAATAAGGAGCATCAATATATTATGACGGTATTCTGTGTGTAAAGTAGGGACTGTGTTTTGCCACACCCACTTTTTCCGTGACATAAATGTCATGAAACTCTTGGAACGTGATATTGTTATAGTCTTATTCGCTTGCAAAAAGAAAATGGAGTTGTATACCAGACAAATTTAAGACAGGTAGAATGTTTTTCAAGTTTAAAATTAACGAGACACACATTTTATGCCAAACTTTTTTTCTGACTAGCATTGCTATCTTAAGAAGACAGTTCAGATAATATATTTTTATGGGAGACAGTTACAAGCTTTTGTGCCTCTGGCATCACATCCCTTCTTTGCGTCTCGACATGTACATGTTGTACCAATACTACCAAGGGTGGATAATGCTGAAAAAGACTGCATGGCAAAACAGGTAAAATTGGCGTGTTTCAGTGGCATGGTGGCTCAAGCGAGACCACTTCCATTTAAAGTGGTTTGATTGCGGTCATAGCTGTCACAACGCATGGGTCGCCTCTGATTACTATACTTATTATGATCATTGTGCTCATAATCATTGCGAAATATGTGCGCTCATGTCCTCGGGCCGCATCAAATTCGCCGCGCTTTTTCGTGGTGTGTCGCAGTGCAGCTGTGCACTGCGGTACAGCCTAACAGTCCCGGCTGGTGTAGCGTACGGCTCCCACGTGGGAAGCCGACGGGGAGCAAATTTCCTCTGGCTGCAACTGCATGTGGTTTGGGAACGGATCAAAGGCCGACCGACCCTAACAACCTCAGCCCTCCCCCCTCCCCCCCCCCCCCCCCTATTCGTCCCTCCTCTGGTACCTCATCGAAGTCATGAAAGCTTCTTCATTCGCTGAAGCGTTAAGCTCAGAATTGATATGATTCATCACCGTAGACTTATGTGTGCATATGCCTACCATGCTCAGAAAAACGTACATCGTGAGAGTCTGAGTCTAAATGTACCATGCTTTCGTGCAAATCTGACGTCATTGCTGGGAATCAAGCTCCGCATTCAGCTCCGCTGCATCCGCCAAACTAGTAATTTACCTTCCCAATGGCATTTACCTTTAAATGTCATACAATCGCACGATCAAAGCCTTCTTCAGATAAGCTGCTTTAACATGCGATAACGGCATGGTGCTGCCCGAAGTCAAGGCAGGACGGAGGCGTTGGTTTTCCTGATACCGATATGAAAAATTGTTCCTGGCCTGCACCGGATATGTTGGGGAAAGGGGGTGAACCGTCATGAGTACCGTGCAGTTGACTTACCAAGGTGCTTAATCAGAGCAAAACGACACCTTGTTATGTGTTTTGAAGCAACGACGCCGTTGTCCCCAGCCCACCCTAGATTGACCCTTGAACGTAGCGCTTCCCATGACCTTGACTTCGCTTCGTGTTTCTTTTCAGACGAGGCAAACCGGCTATTTAAAGATTACAAGGAGAACAGGGACATGGTGCACGGCATCGGTAGCCATTACTACATTACATATCCGGTTCAGATACGTAACAACAGAAGGCAATCTACCATCATCACCAGGGAATCAGGACCCTCCAAGGTAAGCGTCCTCATCCCCCAGTCTCCTCATATGCACCGCGCAAGCCGTCCCATAAAAAAATCCGTTGTCAGTTGACATCTGAGATAACAGGGTTGTGCCGTTAGGATGTGTGCAGCTCTTGTAGTACGCTGGAGTATAGTTAAGGCGGCCTCCATTGGCTGACGGCAAGCAGTATTGCTCCTGATGCATGGCCGCATATGTGGACACAGCGATTTAGAGTTTCGCCAACACCGTACGCTGTTACCTGGTCCCGGTGGGGCTGTGCAGGTAGAACCATAAAGAGTTGCACCTGATTTCACCTCAGAAAATGCTCCGACGCAGTTCACGCCTGCGTGGCTTAAGGTGGAAATTTAGCGATTGACAGTAGCCTATATTATTTAGATAGCCACTTCTTGCATATGATTTGCAATTCACAGTCGACCACAACTTGTAGCAAGCATTTGTGAAAGTACCGCTCAACTGGCAACTTCTTATGAGCTTCAAATAGGTTACTAATTGCAGGTGTCCGCCGACGGAAACATCGATCAACCTGTTATCTTTAAGTGGTTTGACCTTCAGTAGCGGTAGATAATGCGATTTAAAAAGTATTTCCCTTGCCTCGCATTTCTTTCCGAGGAAGATACCATTTGCGGTATGGATTTAGGGCCAGTTTCAGAGAGCTGTTTACAGACGTTCTTTCCTTAGCTGAAAGCCAAAGAATTCTTGCAGCTCCAACACAAGACGACACCAGGAGCAGGTCCTTGCTGGTTGTGTACGATGCATTGCATTGCCTACTAAAGGAAGTGTGCTACATTTGTATGTTTTGCTTTGTGTATTGTATGTTTTGTTTTGTTTTAAACTGAAATAGCCATCTGGAATATCATTTAGCGCAGTTCGCAGCCCTGTCCCTCCAAGACATAAACATTTCTAGTTTCTGAGCTTCACGCCCGCGACAACGTGCGGATTATTTCGGAGAGACTATTTCAAGGTCATCCAGGTATCCCTAACGCCATAATAACGTCATTTAAATCCTGTCATTGCATTGGCCATGAGGCGTTCAAGCTTAATACAAATATAACTGTGGAGTCGTATATGCCTGGCGTTCGGGAGCACGACTTTCTGATATATGGCCGCCAGTTAGCTCTTTATCAATGTCGTGCAAGATATGATGACGTAATAAAAAAATGACGTAATAAGGTACAAATTTACTATAAAAAATTAGGTTTTCTAGAGCAGATTTTCCACTTAAAAAGTATACCAATAGTTACAAGTGAATGTATTTCATCATATCTGATGCTTGCTTCGATGGTTACAAATGTGCTCGTCTTTAAACATTATTTTTTAACGAGAGTGGCTTAAGAAATACTATCAGTTCATTGGAAACAGTGACAGCTGGAAAAAGTGATGTGTCTCTAACAAACAAAGGTGACATGCCAAGACATAAGGAACGCGATGTAAGCTATGTTATGTTTTGTGTGGCTAGGGGACGTCGACATCCTGGCACTTCCAGCCTTAGCGCTTATCATGCACTACTCATCTCTTATTAACACGCTTGTGTTAGAGACATTCTGCTGTAGCTGTCCTAAAGCGATAGAGAGCAGGAGCCCTATAGATGTACATGCACGCTGCTGTCGGAATGAACGAACCTCGAACCTTGAATGTTCGAACCTTGAACGTTCGAGCCTTAAATGATCGAACCTTGAATGATTAAACCTTGAATGTCTGAACTTTGAATGCTCGAAGCCTGAAACCGTGACCTTGTTTCAGCTCGAGAGAGACAACACCTCTTCCCGGAATGGTTTTTATCAAAAGGTTTGTTGGCTGGTCCTTCCTGACTGTAGAAACGATTCGGTCGTGTTGGATCCCAATGTATATTTCTTACACATATAAATGTGCCCCTGCTGTGGCACGAATGGTTAGAATCGAACCACGTGCATGCCTTGTTGCTGATTTTGCCCAACTCCATTGTTTCTGTTGCCTTACGTCGGTTGCAGAAGAATCTTAGGCGCAATTTTTCCGTAATTTTGATCAGTTACACATAGGTACATGTTCAGATGTTCTTTTTCACTGTGTGCAACGGTGTTCCGATTAGTTTCATACGTGTGGCATATTTCTTTGATAAATCTATTGTGCTCCATCTCCGCACAAACTGATGGTCATGTCGAATTTGTATAACGCTGGGCAAACGACGCCTCATGATGCGTAATCAATACACTTGACATGTGACACAAGAGAAGGGGAGATTCCTTGCCCGGTTATCAAAGCGTAAAGTGATGTAGTGATGCCATGTAAGTACACATGTGTCCTTGTATCAGATATTGGTTTGTTTTCACAGGTTTCGACAAAACACGTCGAGAAAACTTCACTCATGATCAAGGCGTTCAGCCATCATTTCCAACTGAACCTCAAGCTCAATTCGTAAGTATAAAAGGTGTCCAAGACGGCGCTAATAGCAATGTTCATCATGGTTGATCACGTTTTGTTTTTGTCGACTCCAAAGCATGTGATGTTATCCCAAGCACGAAGTCCTGATGACAGCACGGAAAGTGTCACTGTATCCGCAGCTAGCTTCAGCCCCGCCTCACACAAGTGTCACAATAGCGGTGTACTGCACCGTGCACTCGCTAGGTTGGCGGTGAGCGCCGTAGCCCGGTGAGCGCCGTAGCCCGGTGAGCGCCGTAGCCCGGTGAGTGCCGTAGCCCGGTGAGCGCCGGTGAGCGCCGCGCTTCCCCTGTGACCTCCTACATAAGCTTTGCTTGCGCAGCTCACTAACTGATCAAAGCTCACTGATCTCCGAATCCTGTCGCAGCGGTTACCTGAATATATCAATGCAGTTTTTAGCATCACCGCATCATCACCTGCAAGAATTACGTGTCGTTGACTTGGGTTTTGCTCGTGTGCAAGCTTGCCTACCGATGAATGTTGTGGCGGCAGACACACGGGTTTTTTTGCAAGTCGTCAAGAATCGTTGTCTTGTTCTGTTGCAGCAGATCACTGCATTATTTATCATTGCAATAGCACACTCGCCGACATTTCCGGGGCTGAAGCGGTTATCCAATAGCTGTTTCAGAATGAGGCATCTTTTCTGGGCGGTTGTTGCTAGCTTGTTTGGAAATCACTGGCAAACATATCAACTTGACCTGTGCCCGGCCGCGGATCCTAGTCAGCCGCGCCTAGCCGGGGAAGTTGAATTCCCCCTGGGATATCAAACTTCCAGATGTCGTATACGAAACGCAACTATACTGTTGTAAAGGTTTTATCAACCCGCAATTAATTCAAGTCAAATTTTTCACCGTAGGCCAAATGTGGGGTCGCAACAGGTTACCAAAGGTTGAAAACGGTCGTTTGGATAGATGCAGTTGAAACCTAGGTTTCCACGTCAAGACAGACATTGAGGGCACGGGCACAGGCGTTAAGACTGCGGGAAGTTCATTCCGACCATTTCTGTTCCCCCACAGGGGTAAGGTCCGATTAGGCCACAGTTCAAATTTGGTCATCTGGTGGTCTACAAGAACGATACGTTTTCACAAGGTGCCACTGATAAAGCTTATATGATAAGATGCGGCCATGGGAAATATAATTTGAGACGCAAAATACTACTTAGGCTGACCTAGAGGTCAGCGGAGATTCACCTAAGTCATTCATAAATAACCCAAAAAAGTGCTAACCGGGTCTCTATGACCGGTGCAATGTTTTTCTGGGGTCGGTAATAGTGGCTTTAAATCTACGGTACTCAAGATCACATAGCTGTTGTATACATCATACAATGTCCCTTCGACGCTTGACAATGTACTTGCAACAGACTGAAAATGGTTCATGAAATTATGCGTCATCAGCTTCACAGATACGATACGAAGATGGTTAAACGCGTCGCTCATTTAACCAGCCTCTCAGCTGGTAACACCAGAGGTCTTTGACCTTTGATTCTGTCATATGACATTGCATGTCTTCACGTGACCTACTGTGACCTCAATATGCATTAGAATGACATAACAACTTGGTTGTAGTAGAGACCTTAATTCTGCGTCCAAAGTTAGTGGATAAAACAGCCTATTTTGAGCTTAGCCTGTGTTTTGCAGAAGGTTCCCATGCAGGTAGATCATGACCTGGACGCAGGTCACGTGCTCTGGATTTATGGTTTTGCATCTAAGCCAGTACTTTTTGCTTCATTTAAAAAACCCAAATTACACAAAAGTACGTACAAACTTGCATTGTTTACAAAAATAAGCAAGCGTAGACCTAACTTCATATCACCGTGCTAGTTGCTTCGAAAAATTTGAAAAACACAAACTGTGGGTACTATCACGTGTTATATTACTAAAGCAAGATTTAATAATAGCCATTGACTTACAAAAAGCCATAAGCAGTCAATTTTTTAGGGACTGAACTCTTTGACCTGACCTTGGTCACTGATATTGGTAGAAAATAATTCAGCGTTCTACCAAAAAATTAATGGATAGCTAAACAAGCACTGACGATTCCATGCTGCTGCGAGCGTTCGTTTTTGGCCTGCGCTCGAAAAACCCTGTGGGGAATTTCCCGTCTGGGAGCGGGTTAAGCAAGATGTGATTTGTACGTTTCAGAGCTTCCGAACTATTTTGTCCACTTCAGGAAATGGGCAACGTGTTTCATAAATGTTTGGCATTGCAGATATCAGTGCAATAGGTCCACAAAATTTTCTTTGAAAAAAAACGATTTGACACACATGGCTCGCACAGATTATTGGCTCACAGCACAACAGTTTTCTTGAAACGTTGATCATATTAAAAACAGCAGATTAAAAACAGACGCGCTATTTTCCTACCAGCATCCATCATTCCATATTCAGCCGTTACCATTCGAAAGCACGGGGGTGGGGCGTGCTGAAATGTTATCCGTAAGTTATTTGTAAGCGTGGAAAGTTGCGGCGCCACTCCCTGATCATTACTGTGTTCGACGCTCTGGTCCACCGATCTCGCCTACCGTTGCCGCTGTTCGGCCGTGCTGTGACCGCGGCGTGGGCGGACAGGAGTCCAGCCACATGACGGCATGCTATTCTGCCGTCCACAACATGCCGATGTCTCGACTTTGTAGACGGATCGTGACGAAACGAGAAACCGCTGACAAAAACAAGTATGCGACGAGAATCGGAAGAATGTGCCGTAACTTCCCAAGTTATTTTATGTTATGCACTCCTTTCGTACGTACATAAACAATGGTTGTTTGGTGAGAAAGTCTCTTGAGTTGTCAGCAGGGGACGCTAGAGCATGACACAGCCTTCGCACACAAAAGCGTTCGGTGGAGGTTTGACCCCAGAGTGGTGCAGTCACGTATCTGTTTCTGTGCATCCTCCGCACCAATAACTGGAACGGACCCTGGAGACTGCTGGCGGTGTCTTAAAAGATGGCAAGCATTCTTCCGGCTTTACTCCCCAGCGATGGCTCTGTACACATCCCTCTATTCCCTCACTGGCTTACAGCGACGACTTGGATTCTTTTGCTCGCTGATTAATATGGACGCATACGATACGAGTATACAACGTGACATTTATGTACATCTGAGGCACAATATTCGTAGCCGTGGTACCAGAAATCGGTAATTCGGTGATGAATCTATACCGGTGGTACTCGGTCAATGTGAGCGATGTCGGTATCGAAGCAACTAGGGCCAGTCTATACCGGCGTTACTCGGTCAGAGTGAGCGGCGTCGGTACCGAAGCAACTACGGCCAGTCTGTACCGGCGGTACTCGGTCAGAGTGAGCGGCGTCGGTATCGAAGCAACTACGGCCAGTCTATACCGGCGGTACTCGGTCAGAGTGAGCGGCGTCGGTACCGAAGCAACTAGGGCTAGTTTGTACCGGTGGTACTCGGTCAGAGTGAGCGGCGTCGGTATCGAAGCAACTACGGCCAGTCTATACCGGCGGTACTCGGTCAGAGTGAGCGGCGTCGGTACCGAAGCAACTACGGCCAGTCTATACCGGCGGTACTCGGTCAGAGTGAGCGGCGTCGGTACCGAAGCAACTAGGGCTAGTTTGTACCGGTGGTACTCGGTCAGAGTGAGCGGCGTCGGTACCGAAGCAACTACGGCCAGTCTATAACGGCGGTACTCGGTCAGAGTGAGCGGCGTCAGTAGCGAAGCAACTACGGCCAGTCTATAACGGCGGTACTCGGTCAGAGTGAGCGACGTCAGTACCGAAGCAACTACGGCCAGTCTATACCGGCGGTACTCGGTCAGAGTGAGTGGCGTCAGTACCGAAGCAACTACGGCCAGTCTATAACGGCGGTACTCGGTCAGAGTGAGCGGCGTCGGTACCGAAGCAACTACGGCCAGTCTATACCGGCGGTACTCGGTTAGAGTGAGTGGCGTCAGTACCGAAGCAACTACGACGGCACGCTCTTGCCTGCGCCAGTTTATTGAAGCGAATATTGCAGATGCTTAACACATATTTCTACGTAGCGTCTGTTCTTACTGATCTTTATGTGATGATTATGCGTAGAGTGTTCAAATGAGTGTTTTACGTCAAAGCTGCTGTTTTTATATACGTATTTTCTTCCAGATACCCAAATTCAGGCCCGGTTCCGTAGGTATGAAGTAGGGTAGGCATTATTCAACGTTCGTGAGCATGATCGACTAGGAGGTCGTGTTATTATAATGCCCATCTTCCTCTGAACATAACATTTCATGGTTTCAGGCAACTTCTAGCACCGAACCTTATCCACAAGCACTACCTGATAAAGGGAGCGGAGCAGATTTCAAAACAGGTGAGTTTATTGCATACTTACCACATGTACTTTGGAGCATTGTCATAGTGCATAACAAACGAGCACAGTTTACCCAAACCCATGGTAATTGGATTTGTATACGAGATGTATATTATTTAACTGTTATGTGCAGTACGATCGCATGGATGAACAGGGTAGATTTTGGGTTCCACCCATGCTGATGACTTTTCGATCAGCCAGAACTATGGATTCTAATGTTGAACCACTAGCCTGCTCGACGTGGTCTTCACTACAGCTGGGTCTCTTTTTATAAGATTAAACTATTGAACAGTTTTGACAATATCTTATCATGAATTTTCTGAATGAATAGTCCCCTGTCTGAAAAGTGGAATCAAGTCATGTGGAAACCATTCGCAACTGATGCATCTTTGCCCCTCGCTCCGATTCGCCGTTTTTTTATAATGCGCACTGATTGAGGGGTCGATGCGACCCCCTGGCATTTCCAGGATAATGAAGATAGGGATTAGCGGAAAATGCCAGATGGTTGGTCTCAACAGATCTTGAGATTGGTTTTATTTGTATGCTTTATGTCCATAACTGATCCCATTATGTCAGGCCAAGGGCAAAATTTTCCAGAAAATTGTTCTTTCCCAACTTTACAACCACATACATCCGGGGCCATGTCTCGAAATGACACAAAATCTAGGCAGGCGCGTTTGTATTCAATTGTGAGTAAATAGTGTATGTTGTATGTGCTAAAGCATCTATTTATCTGTCTATCTATCCATATATATATATATATATATATATATATATATATATATATATATTTCCGCCGCCAGTCAATATCACTTTCATGGATTCCGCGATACGTATAGATGTATGTGCAGCTACCACAAATTGCGCTTTTGGATATGAAACACGACATGAATGCGATATTTTTGATATACATTCCATTCTCCGTTCCTCCTCCCCAGCTTTCGTTTTGATGGGATGAACGTAGGCACATGGGTTTTTACGCTGGAATTATTGACCAGGTATTTCTCACCCCTGAGTGCACGAAGATAATTTTTCGGACAGGAACGAAAACTAATTATAAGAACCTTCCCACGTTCCGTCGAAGAAGCTTTGGGAATGGTAAATCCCCTCGCATGATGTGAGAGAGTGTGAGTGAGAGAGAGAGAGAGAGAGAGAGAGAGAGAGAGAGAGAGAGAGAGAGAGAGAGAGAGAGAGAGAGAGAGAGAGAGAGAGAGAGAGAGAGAGAGAGAGAGAGAGAGAGAGATTGGAAAGAGAAAGGGAAAATCGCATACTATTGAAAGCACCCTTTCCTCAGCTTTTCCCAGTTCGAGCTCGTGTGTTTCATCTTAGAACTTCTATTTTGTCCCTCTTCCCCCAGGCCAATGTTTCTCCACGTTGCTAGCACGCCTATATAGCGATATTTTCACTAACATCGTGGAGAGACATAACGAGTGAGAGAGAGGGGAAAAGGATGGGAGTTCTAAAATCAAGCACACAACCTTGGCCTGAGGTCATGCTTTGGTCAACGACATTCTGCGTTGTGTATACGAAAATACATGTCACGCGTTTTTCTTCCCCAGCGGTTATCTCAGTCGAATTCACGTTTGGTATTCCAGGCGTTGCCTGAAATGTCTGCATCGATCTTTGTATGCAGTATTCCACTACGTTTGTTCAATGCGATGCATATTTTCGCTGAACCACTGCCATCAACATGTTTTTGTACTCCGCGTAGTTTTTTGTCATTACCGTCGGGCACAACATCCCATGCCGCCCGTCTCTTCCCACTGATCTTCCGACTCTCCCGTCTTCCCCGCCGCTGTCCCGTCCCGGGCCGTGCCTCGTTATCCCTTCGGCGCCCTCCCTGCTTACCCCCCCCCCCCCCCCTGCTTACCACGCCTCCCGCCCTCCGCGGCCCGACGCTGATTTGTTATGGATCCCCGACCAAAAGACAGCAATATCTAATTCCGTTATTCGCCCGGCGGCGGCGGCGCGACGGCCGCGGCGCCGGCGCACGGCATCGCCGCCGACGCCGCCGCCGCCGCCGCCGCCGGCTGCCCGTCGGCCTGGTATTGTTGGCGCGGCGCCGACGGTCGCGGCCGGCGGTCGGCGGCCCCGGACGGGCGACGGGCCGGGGACGCGGGCAGTACGTGCGGCGCGTCGCCCTGATCGTCTGATGACGCCAGACGCAGGTGCTGCGCGTGCACATGCGTCGATGTTCAGAACGACCTGTTTGCATTGGAGTGTTTCACTTATAACATGCAGCGCAATGTCATGCGTATTCATCTGAAGAGACTTTTGCGGGAAAGTAATGCACTGTTAGTAAGCATGCATTCCCGATGAAGTGTGGCACCGAATTTCACTATAACCTAGTTGAGCAATTTTTGGCAAACTCCAAGCAATAATGTATCCGGGGGAATGCAATTTGTAGATAGCTTTAAAGCGGAAGGTTCCACTTGCTCTTGCGTAATGAAATATTCAAGCTGTAATGCCAGTGTTGTTAAGTTGTGGACGTCATAGGCTGCCGACGTCATAGGCTGGCTAGGCATTAGTGCGACATGACCGATCTTTTTCTCTCAGACATGCAGCAGTGTGACAACTTGTCACTGCCGCGTGGCAATACCACGGTAGTAGATCTGCTGCAAGTCACCGCCAATGAGCAGGCTTCTACCAGATTTTTGCAGCCAAGCCTTTTTGCAACCAGCTTTTTGCAACTTCTACCAGCTTTTTGAGTTGGTCCTCATTGAGGAGACGGTGTTCTCCAAACCACCAGAATGGCGGTCAGCGCAATCCACCAGACGCGTGAAAGCTGCTTAAAATTAGCTTAATCATGTTAAAAACTGAAGAGCATCAATGAGCAATAAACGTTTTAGGACATGGGATGGATAAACAAGCTTTTTAGGATTGTATTGTTGTGTTCGGCCTTTCGGCTACATCAAGCACTACACCGGTCATAACAATAAGGATATCGCGTTATGAGGGCCTTCTAAGGCATAAGATAGATTCAGGTACGATACGAATTGCATGATCTTCCACAGGTCACGCGAGGGCACATAAGTCAAAGCTTTGGCCTGACTTGACATTACTGACAGGACTATCCAAGGGTCATCGATTTTCCCAGAGCTTGTAAGGTATGATTTCAGCAGGGCGGGATCTGCAAGCCATGGGGCGATAAAGTTAGCTTACTGGTCGCATAATGCCTTATGTTGCATATGTTATCATGGGTGTGCCCAAAATACCGGTGTTATCACATTGCCCATATATTGACGTTTAGTGTGCGAAAATTAAGGGGAGTCGAACCGTCGCAGAATGGTGAAAGCTTTACCTTAGATATTGTATCTGTGATCCTCGAGACATTTTAGACCTTCTCAAGTATTTAGTTTTAGAGCTGCAAATCAATCATGGCTCCTGTTTTATATTGTCTAACACACTGGCGATAGTAAAGCATATTTAAGGAGCAAACAATGCATCACAAAACTATGAAATGACGAAGTGTTGTGGTTAGCGCACTAGGTTTCATTAAGTCTTCACTTGTTGCGTAATTTTCGCAAGTGCTGACTGAAAAGGCAGTATTACCGATTCTAGTCTCACAGCAAATTCAGCTTTGTGTGTTTTCACCGTCTTTTTATAAGCTTTTTGCGGTCCAAAAACGTTCCATATAGACGTAAGGTACAAGTTGGTGAAGCTCAGGTGCGCAATATTCTCTATCCGCCAAACTGGCCCCAAAAGAAACTGGACAAACGACGTCGGCGCTGGTATATTAGATAATTTGCCTACCCATCGCGGAGATCGGGAGCGCCGAGATGAATGAGAACGGCGAGATAAATGAATGCGTGGCATTTCCCAATCAGGCTTCCGTAATTTGACGCCGGCTAGTCAGACCAATAAATGGACCGAAGTCGCACTGACCTTGGCAGTCGGCAATAGCAGCAATGAATGGAAGTTGTGCCAGACTTGCAGCGCTTACAGGAGCCTAGAACTTATGAATTCCGATTTGTCCAGCAGTGCATTTCAGACGTATTTGAAAGCTCTGGTCGGATTTGGTCCGAAATCACTGGAATTGCTTCAATGATTTGGTGTGCCGCACTCGTTCGATACCTAAACGTGTGAGCAGACTGCCCTCTCGGCGGGGATACAAACCACATATACAAGGTTTTTATTAAGGCAAGAAGCACTGGTTCTACAGGGGCTGGATGTATGTCTGACACGAGGTTGCATTATCTGACGCTGCGACACCGTCGACCCTGCTGCCTCCGCCTGTCGCTGTAGGCCTCGGCCTTGAGGCTGCCGGCCGTCTCACTCACGGTCGCCGGTCGTTCCCTCGCAGGAGATCGAGCACTGCTACTACCACGGCACGGTGCAGAACTACCCGGGCGCCGTGGCCGCCATGCGCACGTGCAACGGTGTGTCCGGCGTCATCCAGATCGGCAACGAGACGTTCATCATCCACCCGTTCTACGGCGGTGACATGTCGGTGGGTCGCCAGACAGACCCAGCGCCTGAGCGGCGCGGTGTCGCACACTCACCACGGTGTCGTGAGCAAACACACACACGACCCCGCTCGCCGCATGTTATGGCCCATGGACCCATTGTGGGACAATCGGCGACGTTTGGCTTTGCGTCTCGGGCGCGCACGGGAAGCACGCCATTTGTTTTTTATGTTGGCGTATCACCAGAACAGCGTGAGGTAGTGAAAGCTTGATGTCGGCAGGGCGCCTCCTTCTGATTGCATGTTGGATTGGTCGACAATGCTACAAGGAAAGCCAGTTGTGCATGTCCACCTGGTTATGTGTAGTTATGATCGTCACATATCGCTGTCTCAAGTCGCGTTGGACATTTCCGTTCCTCTGGGTATTGCGAACATACATGTCGCGGGTTGTCGGTCCTGTACAGTGCCGATTGTGGCAGGCCACCTTTAAATATTTTCTTCCGGGTTTGGCCCCTTACACCGAGCTCTCATCACAAAGTCCACGGGAAGTTGCAGGCTCCAGGCTTGCTTCCACGGGTTTCCAAGAGCCGACCAAGTTTGCTTTGCCTCCCCAAAGTGAAGAAGTTTTCTCATTTAAAACCAGGCTAATGACATTGTTCTAGACTCCTTTTTATCAAACTTAGATGGGGTCGATGTCTTCATTGACAAATTGATGAACATTGTCGGTTCTCCTGAGCTGAGTGCTCCCTGGAAACAGGGCGCGATCGAGCCGGGTTGGCGTTGACGAGGTTTTACATTTCAAGTTAAATCGTCCAATTGGTAGCCTTCGAGGAGCTGCATGCAAATTTCGCGTGAGGCTGACATACCAATATGATGTCGCGCGACTCGGTACTTCTTGCAACGGCCCTGTGATCCTGTGGTTGGTTTACTAAACACGGGCTTAATGATCACGTCTGTGAAATTTGCTGGGTAAAGTTTCGTGACGGATGCACCCCGTGCCCTGGGAATCTCATTCCAAAGAAACCATTAACATACATGCTTAGTATAACCATGTATTTCATATGATCAGCTTGCCATGGCATAGTTATACCCATGTACTTGCATAGCCATCTTGTTTACCCGTTTAGGTCATTGTATAGCTAGTTGCATCAGACGTCCGACAAGGCCTGCTGGTGTTCGGCCTGTGTTTGAGGGACCGGCGCCGCAACAGATCAACGGAAATTTGGCCGTTCTTTGCTGATGTCATCCTGCATAACTACAACTGGTATAAGAATAGTGCGTATGCCTTAGCAAAGTGTGCAAAAGTGGGCGTTTACCATCAAATGACCGATAAGTTCTGCAGTACTGGCACAGATGGATAGATGAGGAGCAACGCACCCTGATTTGTCAAAACATGGTTGCATAGCAACCCATCTTGTGACAGTGGGGGGCAACCATCGGCCTTCTGTGGGGGACGACCATCGGCCATCTGTGGGGGACGACCATCGGCCATCTGCGGAAGGACGACCATCAGTCATCTGTGGGGGACGACCATCGGCCATCTGTGGTGTGACGACCATCAGTCATCTGCGGAAGGACGACTATCGGCCATCTGCGGAAGGACGACCATCAGCCATCTGTGGGGGACAACCATCGGCCATCTGTCGGGAGACGACCATCGGCCATCTGCGGAAGGATGACTATCGGCCAGCTGCGGAAGGACGACCATAGGTTACCTGTGGAAGGACGACCTTCTGCCATCTGTCGGGTGACGACCATCGGCCATCTGCGGAAGGACGACCATCGGCCATCTGTGGAAGAACGACCTTCTGGCATCTGCGGGGGACAACCATCGGCCATCTGTGGGGTGATGACCGTCGGCCATCTGTGGGGAGACGACCATCGGCCATCTGTGGGGGACGACCTTCGGCCATATGTGGGATGACGACCATCGGCCATTTGTGGGGGGACGACCTTCGACCATTTGTGGGGAACAACCTTCGGCCATTTGTGAGCTTGGGAGATCGGTTCGGGTTTGACACGACTTCAGCTCTGGCTCGCCGCTACTGATGGCCCACTTCTGCTCGAGATGAATGGCCCTTCAATTTGCCAGCCCCGACAATGGAATTGATCGGCGGACGACCCTGGCTCCGGCCACCTGGCTGGTCTGCTGGAGATCATGTTCGGCCGCCAGCGGTTGGAGGCGTCCCCTGGTGGCCAGGCGTCCCTGGCTCCGGCCACCTGGCTGGTCTGCTGGAGATCATGTTCGGCCGCCAGCGGACGGAGGCGTCTCCTGGTGGCCAGGCGTCCCTGGCTCCGGCCACCTGGCTGGTCTGCTGGAGATCATGTTCGGCCGCCAGCGGTTGGAGGCGTCCCCTGGTGGCCAGGCGTCCCTGGCTCCGGCCACCTGGCTGGTCTGCTGGAGATCATGTTCGGCCGCCAGCGGTCGGAGGCGTCCCCTGGTGGCCAGGCGTCCCTGGCTCCGGCCACCTGGCTGGTCTGCTGGAGATCATGTTCGGCCGCCAGCGGACGGAGGCGTCTCCTGGTGGCCAGGCGTCCTTGGCTCCGGCCACCTGGCTGGTCTGCTGGAGATCATGTTCGGCCGCCAGCGGTTGGAGGCGTCCCCTGGTGGCCAGGCGTCCCTGGCTCCGGCCACCTGGCTGGTCTGCTGGAGATCATGGCCAGCCGCCAGCGGTCGGAGGCGTCCCCTGGTGGCCAGGCGTCCCTGGCTCCGGCCACCTGGCTGGTCTGCTGGAGATCATGTTCGGCCGCCAGCGGACGGAGGCGTCTCCTGGTGGCCAGGCGTCCCTGGCTCCGGCCACCTGGCTGGTCTGCTGGAGATCATGTTCGGCCGCCAGCGGACGGAGGCGTCTCCTGGTGGCCAGGCGTCCCTGGCTCCGGCCACCTGGCTGGTCTGCTGGAGATCATGTTCGGCCGCCAGCGGACGGAGGCGTCTCCTGGTGGCCAGGCGTCCCTGGCTCCGGCCACCTGGCTGGTCTGCTGGAGATCATGTTCGGCCGCCAGCGGACGGAGGCGTCTCCTGGTGGCCAGGCGTCCCTGGCTCCGGCCACCTGGCTGGTCTGCTGGAGATCATGGCCAGCCGCCAGCGGACGGAGGCGTCTCCTGGTGGCCAGGCGGCCAGGTGCAATCCCCACCGGCGATTCCTCGGGGCCAAACGTTTAGTTATTTGATCGTTCTGACCAGATCATGCAAAAACTGCTGGCGGGGGGCAAGAACAGAGAAACGGGAGCTAATACAGAATGTGATAGAGTGGTAGAACACGGAGTGTTCTCCGCTTGTTTGTACTGAACGAAATGCATTTGTGTCTGGCTATTCCGACAGATCCACTGTGCATAGGGCTATTCTTATGCCTTCGAAATGTGTGATTAAACTGTGATCTTCAGTGCCAAAAGGGAATAGATGAGGGGTTGGATGTAGGAATGATAGGTTAAGATAATGGTACCAAGCAGGGTCTCGGAAAAGATTATGCATCACGAACACGTCTGTCCGAGAGGGCGGCTAGCCCCGCGAGGTGTAAAACGGAGAGAGGATTAAGTTGGAATGCAAGAATGCTCTTGTGATCAAAGTAGAGCAATACAAGATATAACGCCAGATTATTAACGCAATACATAACGCCAAGCTAACGCCGGATCATTGTGTATTTCGTTTGATATGGTTTGTGACTTTACTTCCGCGAATAAATTTGTCTTCGCCTTGTTATAGGTTTTCTTGCTTACGCAAAGTGCGTTCGGAATAAGCACACAGTATGTATTTTATGAGTGAGCACACACGGTGCTAGAGTAGCATTTACTAAAAGAAATTAAGATGAATTTCATACAAAATTGTATACGTGACCTTTGTTGAGAAAGTGGCGTTTTTAATGAGCTTTTGGTCACGGACCTTGCCCGCAGAATCGAAAAGTTTAATTTAATCTGGTATAAAGTTCATGTTTCCGATTCTATGAGCAAGGCTTGTGACCAACAGTTCGTTCAAAATACATGTTATTTAACGAATAGCACGTACATAAGTATCGTAAGGAAGTCATTTTAATTGACTTTAGTACTTACTACGCGTTATATTTTAGAAGCATTGTACCATCTCAGAGTTATATATAATGTATTCTATTATACTTTGTTTGCATGTAACGGTAAATATATCTACCCTAGAGTTGTGCATTATATAAAGCTTACCGTTCCTGTGTGAAGTAGATTAGGTTAGATGCTATAAAGCAGCTGAGGCGAGAATTGTTTTGATTTTTGGATAAAGGGCGCACTAACACAAGGCTGGGTGTCAGTTTGACACACACCGCGACAAAAAAATGATATTCTCTGCACAAGGTTCCGAACGACACAGCATGGTCACCCGTTATGTTTGCAGACAATTGAAAAACCGATCTTTTGGTACACACGATGTTGTGTACTCCGTAAGGTCGCCGACCTATGGCAGGTCAAGGTTATTTCATAGCTCTCAGATGGCGAGTCCTAAGAAATTGTCCAATCTGAACTGATCTCATTCAATCTTAAATTGAACTTTGGTGTTTTAGTGTTACTAGTTGGGAGTTTTCATGTAAAAAGCAATCAACCTTCAGTACACCAGGGGGACATGGTTAAATGACGTTATGAATAAAGCATTCGTTAGGCTCAAAAACGTCGTTTTAAAGTCATGTTCACGGTCAGCTTTCTTCGTTAAAATCGATCAACACCACCCCAATATTCCTTTCGCCTTGGAGTACACCGCACAAGATGTGATAATTTCATTCATCGAAGGTACGACCAGGTGGAAGCCATACCGTCGAACTGTATTTTAACCCGTCACGTTCCGAAACGTGCAGTGACCCATCCTAATTGGTGACTCGGTGAGAGCGTCTGCCTTCCCATTCCCCCCCCGCCCCCCTCCCCAGTAACAGTATGGAATCGAGTCGCTTCCGGCGTGCGCTATTTGTTCGTGGCCGGGATGGCCTGCGGCCGGTGACAGCTGCCGTCAGGTGACGTCACAGAGCAGGGTGGGCCGCGCCGAGCTATGCAGCGCGGTCAACTTTCGCTGCAAAACGCTGCCGTTGAACCGGAATTTTATGACCGGATAGTGGGATCGGAGCTCCTGCAACAAGCGATGCTTGTCGGGGGCGCTCACCCCAAAAACACATTTAATCAAAACGTTTGGACTAAATCTGCAAAGCATGATGGTAAACATAATGCATTACAGTTTTGGGGAACAGTGTGTGTATTTCATGATTAACCAGCCGTGTGAACGCAATTGCGCTGAAATATCCCTTATTTTCCGTGCTAACAGATGCTAAGAACACTGAGCGAGGTCTCCCAATTGTTCCGTAAAATCTCGGTGAACGATAGAACAGTAGCAGTCTCACAAAGAAGCCGTAGAAAGACGAGGTAAACAGATTGTCTCAATGTCAAATCGCCGTGTAAATAGGGCGGCCCAGACAAAAGTCAATCCACGTTTTATTCAATAGTGACAAAGGCATTTCTCGCGCCTTCAGGACTGTGCGGGCATTCGAATGACTACTCAGTGACAAAACATGGCAAAGAACAGTGGCAGTCACCACTGGGCTCACACTCGTCAAGTCGTGACTTTACAGAAGAACCTTGCGGGACCAAACGACGATTTTGTCAACACCACCTCAGAACGCTACACCGCTACCGCTTTGTCCCTTTTGGCGGTTCTGGGCAACTTTACAGAATTGTTCGGGGCGAGGAGAGGCTCTAGCAAAACGAGTTGACACCACACATAACTGGATTGGTTGGAGGAGCGTTTCCCTGGACTGGACATCTTAAGTCTGCTGTGGAGTGGCTTGGCGCCTGCCTGAGCTGTCGCCACTGGACTTCATGCTGTGGGGTAACACGAAGAATCACATTCACGTGGATAAGTCAGCGAACCTTCAAGAACTCAAAGCCAAGTTAAGTATTGCGATGGGTCACACCACTGTCGACAACCTTGACATGATAGCCGACCGCCTGCGGCATGTTCAGCGGCTGGTCATCCTGGGCCGCCCAGGCGCCAGCTGGAGCATATTTTGCAGTAACTATTTAACGCATGTGGAATCTCTTATCACCAATGTCGCTGCTCGTGTTTTGCCATTGGATTGGCGGACAATTGCTACCCATGGAAACGATTGTGCGATAAATAAGCTTGTCATTGTGAGGCAAAACGTTAGTCAACCATCATGTGAGCCCCCTTTTATGTTTAACAGCTGCTGCATATTGTAATCATTTTTTGCCCTGATCCACCTGTGCCAGCTTGAGGAAAGCCTGTTATTATTTGCAGACCATCTTAACATACGAGGGGTTTGGCATGATTAAAACACTAAGTATCCATATTACACGATTTTTTTTAAAGCCAGCATAATGGCTATGGCGATGCGTTTAGGTGCCCAGCCTACCAACAGTTTAGATAAATATGCAGCATCTCATTGGGTCGGTATTCCTCTTTTTCCTCGTATGCATTGGGAGGAGTTCGGAGGAGCGCTGACGGGGCTGAGGTCAGAATTGGGGGCTCAACCCCTCCCTCCCCCGCCCTCAAAAGTGTACAGAGTGGCGCCCCTGCAGCTGATATATGCTATCTCGCGCCACTCGCTTTTGAAGAGCATCAGGTCTTCAAATATGCTCGAGACAAACACTGAAATGTTTTCTCCACCAATCAGCCCCAGCGCTAGGATAACAGGCCGTGTTGGGGCAGATACCTCTCCGAACGCCACTCATGTTTTCCATCTGAACGGCGTGGAGCTGGGCCACTGTGGCCGCAGACTCGTGATGCCAGTGTCGGACACGCGGCGAACGATCACCGGCCTGACGTCCAGGGCAAGTGCTCTCTTTTCAAAGGGCGTAGCGCTGAATATGACCAGAAGCGGCCGTCGCGAGTCCATCCCATGCGGAGGGATGGTCTTTGTGCTTCGTTTGGAAGTTCGCTGGAGGTCCTTTCTCTTCGCCGACGGCCGCGCGAACTTACCATGCACCCCATCTCCTCCCGGTTTTCATCTGGCCGATCGGCTTTACGGCGCCGTGAGCGCCGCGCTTTACGACGGTGTCAGCCGTTGTCGAGTGCCGCGCGGCGCCGATAGCCCGCGGGCCTGACCTCTGACCTGCCGCCGCCGCCGGCCATCCGAGGGCGTCCGGCACGGCCGGCGGCGCGCACCAATCGGTAGGCGGCGCGCCTGAATGCGCGCGTATGAGCCGTTGACACCGAACTTCTGGAGAATCGATCAGCGCCGGGCTGATTCGGCGCGCGGCCGCCGCTGGCCGAATTGCCTCAATAAGGCCTGATTGGCGGCGGCGGGGCGCGCCGGGCGGCCGGCCGAGCGCGCTCCAGGTGGCCGTCGCCTGTCGGTGACACGCAATCAGACGGCCGGCCAGTGACGGTCACTGCACGACCGACGCTGGACCGCAGAGACAGCAGTCAGCAGTAACGGGCTGCTGATCTGAGACGGTCACTGCACGGCAGACGCTGGACCGCAGGGACAGCAGTCACTGGTAGCAGGTAGCTGATCACTGTTGACGCCTCTGCCGGTCACTGGACAGTTGGTTAGCCAGCCCTGATCAATGCGCTTCACTGGGTCACTTGCTTCACTGCAGGCTGCGGTCACTGAACAGACTGTTAACTGCAGTGCAGTGGTAGTAGACGGTGGTATCGCGGCAGACCCGGCAGATGACGCAATATTTACTGTCCGGCGACCGTCTCCCGATGTCAATATTTTCAGGTTGTCATTGACTTATCCGAGGTACGAGCGTGGATACTTCGGCTTGTGTACTCGAAAATCATGGTCTTGCGTTTGGTTCTTCCCATCAAGCATTACAGCCTTGAGTGACATATATGCCCGCGTTAGCTTGTGTTTCGTCACTTCGAATGGTTTGCACGGGTGGCATCGGGCTCAGAGCACTTGACAAGCAGGGCTCGTTTTGTGCCCTGGATCTGAACCCGAGCTCGGCCGATCCGGTTCGTAGGATAATGTTACATGCGGGTTTCACGCCACAGGGCTCACTGTAGGCTTTACCTGCGGCGATGACCTAGCACGGCCGCCTTTTTGCTGAGCCTCTGCCTCTGTTCTGTCTGAACAGGGGCAGAGCTGTCTGAGGCAAGAGTTTGAACAGAGCCAAGCCTGAGCCTGTGTTCAGCTGCGTTCCGCGAGGTGACGCGTGATTCGGTCCTCCAAACACTCTTGGCGGTGATCCGGACGAGCGTGGCCCGAGCTTGTCAATGGTCGCGTCAGAAAATCAGGACGAAATTCTGAGACCCGTTTAGCTGGAAACGCCATCAACGGAACGGTCAAACTTCCCCAAACTTTTTACTAAGAAGGCGTCCCCGAGCTGTAATGGGATGTAATTCTGGGCATATTTCAAGGAAATTGTTGTGGGTGCAAAACTCGCCCAGCGGAACATTTCCTATTGTTCTACAAGTCCCAGTGTTCAGCTCTATGTGCAAGCGGCGTCGAAGCCAGACATGTCCAGACAGCCTAACGGCACCAATGAAAACATTTGTAAGCGATAGACGCCAGCTCATTGGTGCCAGCACTAAGCGCCGCCTCGCGCCTGCAGTTTTAGGTCTGAGTGCCGCCTCACTCCCGCAGTCTCAGCTCTAAGCGCCGCCTCACTCTCGCAGTCTCAGCTCTGAGCGCCGCCTCGCGCCCGCGGTCTCAGCTCTGAGCGCCGCCTCGCGCCCGCAGTCTCAGCTCTGACCGCCGCCTCGCGCCCGCAGTCTCAGCACCCGCACCTGGTATACGAGGCGCGCAGTCCAGCTCAGCAGGCGTGCGCCAACACCCGCATGTACGAGTGGGGCCTGCGCCAGAAACGCGACGAGACCATGGAGGACCCGGTCGAGCGCTGGACCGGCCGGCCGCCGCGCGATGTACGGAACGCCATCAAGCACATCGAGCTGGCTCTGGTGCTGGACAGGGCCATGGTGAGTTGACGGCGCGGCGAGTGGTGTGGTGTGCACCGGGGTGCAGAGTTACCGAGCGCGTCTATTGGTGCTGGGCGAAGCTGTGGGGAGTTCCCGCGCGCGGTGAGCTGCTTGCTTGAGCCTGGGCGCTCGGTTGTGCCGAGTTATTGGACCCGTCAAGTGGTGGTGGACAAACCATTCTGAATATCAAAGGAGTGATGCGTGCTGTTCAAGGCTTAAGGGAGTTACCGAGCTTGGTTTTCCTGGAACAATCAGCACCTGCTGCGTTTAATCCTTGATATCCAGCCAAAACGCAACGGGAATACAAGTCACATTAACAGCAAAGATCTGCGAGCACATTATGTCGTATGAGTTGTTGCTTGCACTAGGGCTGGGTCTTTTGGACGTGTCGTGAAATGAGTTGTAACATTAGCGTACAAAGCATGAACAGCCGTTTCGCATGCGCGGTGTGTACCAGAATGTCACACATAGCTACTTGGATTGGCATGTCGGTCCAGGTTTGGTTGACTTATTCTTGCACAACTTTTGGATGTAACCGTAAACGAGGAACACTGTTTCTAAGGTATATATATATATATATATATATATATATATATATATAATATATATATATATATATATATATATATATATTATATGTGTGTGGTGTGTGTGTTGTGTGTGGTGTGTGTGTGTGTGTGTGTGTGTGTGTGTGTGTGTGTGTGTGTGTGTGTGTGTGTTGTGTGTGTGGTGTGTGTGTGTGTGTGTGTGTGTGTGTGTGTGTGTGTGTGTGTGTGTGTGTAGCTGAACTAGCACACTAAAAGTAACCGAAAGCGTCATGACCCACCTAAACACCGCCCCTGTAGACGGCCGGCGGGCCCATCCTGTAGACAGCCAACGGGCCCATCCTGTACACGGCCGACGGCCCAATCCTGTGGACGGCCAACGGGCCCATCCTGTAGACGGCCGACGGGCCCATCCTGTAGAGGGCCGACGGGCCCATCCTGTAGACAGTCGGGGCAAGGGACCTCATGAAAGGATAAAATGTCGTACTGCACATTTACTTCCAAAAAGCAGCGGAATATCTTCAATTTGCCACTATGTACAAATAGACAGGTCTAAAATTATTTAAAAGCTCCCAACATTGAAAGGTAGACGGGCAGGGGACGGGTATAATATTGCATCACCCCTTCATGAAAGATTGTTTAAGGCGATACATTGTTATGTTGTCAGTCTGCTGTCATCTTTTTCTTTGTGTTCACGCTCCACCATCCTATAGTATTTTCCAAAAGCAAGGATCACCTGCAAGGAGCAATAATTGGACCGCGTTAGTGTTCCCGGAAGAAAACTATGTATTTTTCGTCAGCAACAGCAAAGCCTTCAAATAGCCTGTTGTGCACAAAACAGACCTCTGGTTTGTACGAGACGAATAATTTCCGGACGGTCGGATCATTGGATAGTGAGATGTTCCTTTCAGTCATATGGGGGAGAGCCCTTTGGCTTACTAAGAGAGCCGGTAGCGTGCAGGTTGTTATATAAATGGTGTCCATCGTCGCAAACACGTCTAGGGATTTCATGAAACCTGGATATCCAAAAATAGCGCATGTGCCTTGCCAAGCCGAACTGACAGAGCCAGGGGCCTGTGCAAGACGTTGAGTTGTAATTTGCTGGACCTGCGGGCAGAGGGCAGGGAGTTTTGTTGAGATAGCAAGTATACTGTAAACCATAGCGTTTTATTAGATGGCCCTCCCTTGATCCTGAATTGGAGCACTTGGTTATATCAAGTTGTCAATTCTGAGCAGGTCAAAGATCCCGTCTACCGATAATAGGTGCGCAGGTTTCTGTTAATCACTCTATATATGAATCATGGGGTGGTGCTTTTGAACTTTCACTCTTCCATTCCAGCGCATTTTGAGATGGAGAGCACCACTGCGTTGCCTTTTAAACACTCACATTTAGTTGTATTTTTCAGTTTGAACTGCGCAACGGCTCGACGAGAGAGAGTGTCATCCACGACGCCATCCAGATCGTCAACATCGCCGACCAGGTAAGAGACGTGAGCAACCCTTATAAATGAATTACAAGCGATCTGACAGGTTTGCATGATGACTGGTCCGTGTTACAGCATATTTGGGACTGAGGTCCAGGGGCTTTACAGTCGACCTACCCGGTCATGCCCGTAATTACATACTTGGAATGAGTGGGGACGTGTTGAAAGGACTTGGGAGCATGGCCGAGCTCAATGTGGCGACTGTTATTCTGTCGTCCGTAGGTAAAACCCCGTATGTTGATTTCTGGCCCTTTTATATTTTTTGTCATCTGATTTGTCTTCTTATGCCGAATTCAAATATTCAAATCAAAAGTTGAAAGTTACACAAGCTTTTAGTTAAAAAATGGGCTAAAAGCTTGTAAAAATCTGAATTAATGATGTAATTACCAAGGTCAGCATAACTAGATGATTCAGGCGAAATAAAATACTTAAAACGGCCAAAAATTAACATATGGGGTTTTACCTTTGGACGGCAGAATTACATCCGCCACACCAAACAAGCTCTAGATATCTTGCATTTGAATATCTACGGTCGTTGATCACATAATTTTGTAATAATTACTCAGTCACTATATTACATAACCCAATGTGCACCCTACATGTAAAGTAAGGCTAGGATGGTGCCCTGATTAGCGAAGAGACGTCATGCACAAATTAGCATACATGCTAGTAAGGTTGCGCTCACTTCAAGCCATACGTGTGATGTGTCGCATAATGAGTGTCTTCAAGAAGTCTTGCTTCGAGACGTGGTTGGAAACGCCTCCCATTTCGATCATTTGGTTACTGTTCTTTGCGTTGTTTTTAGGCGCCAGAGTTTTTCTCTGAAAATGTGCTTAACTTTTTAATTGGCCTTCATGTCTCTCAATTGCGGAGGTTTCAGTGCAGTGCCTTTTATGAACACGAATCGTTTGCGGAGAAGGAACTACCGCGTCCAAAAAGTCATCGTTTTGAGCTACTTTTACAAGACCGCAACGTCTTTTAGTTGAACCAGCATCTTTTCCTTTTATTTCCTTATCAAGCATCCTACCTGCACTCCACATAAAGTCATGCCATACCGGAAGATTCGTGTTTGCCCGTATTTTAACAGTGTTGCCGAGTTTATTTGACCCGCGGCAAATGGCGGCTGGTCGGTAATTCTCCGTGCGGCGGTGCCACGCTGAAAAAACAACTGGATGTTCTGCGCCGTCCTATTACGGGTCTCCTGGGCGGGAGGAGCTATGATCGATGACTGTATCCCCGGGGCCGGAGGTGGTTGACGACAGGTAGCACGCGCGCCATCTCGGCCGGCGCACCTCCGTGTGTGGAGAGTCTTGGGGGCGCACGGCCGGCGCCTCTGCGGCATTATCGATCAGGGTTGGGCGCTGCTGCCAATGCAGCCGCACCACGCCCCATCTGCGCAAGAAATAGAACCGCGCGCGCCGACCGCCGTCCGTAGAAATTAACCATTTACGAGAGTGCGCCCATCGTCGGTGCAACCAGCGGCCCGTAAATTGTCGGCGGTCCCACGCGAACGCCCGGGGTATGGGTGTCATACGTTCCACCGGACGGAAACCATGGCGATCTGCACGGTGATGATCGTCGTGTAGTTACCGGCGGAGGCTTCGTTGACCTAGTTAGTCGGGTCGGCCGTCGGATGACCCTAATACAGTCCATCAGTTTGACTTTGACTCTGGCATTGTTTTCAATTATTGAACGCGGTCTGGAGCCTAGTTTTGCTGCACGCGAATGGCAGAAATCCTCACTTTCAGACATCCTATGCTGTTGTTTTTGTCTTTGAAATTGGAATCGCTAGCACAGGGGTTAAAAGGCAGAATTATGTCTCGAATGAGTTTATTCTGTCAGATTGCTGAAATTTACGACTGGTGTGATCGACTTCCTGTTGTTGAATGAGTTGGAACGAGGTAAACAAGCAATAAAGATTCGCCCGTTTTCGTCAAAACAAATCCGAACAAACTTCGCATTCTGATCGACGCATCAAAGCCCGAAAAGAACCCGTTCTTGGAACTGGAAGCGGCTTCTGTTCCGTTCATTTGTTCCTTATTGTGTGTTATTCGGTGCCAACGCCATTGCTGGTTGGTATACCGCAGCCTGCTATGTATGCGCCATGGGCCCGTGATAAATTTCATGCTGTCAGCTTTAGACAAACAGCTCGCTGACATTTGAATTAATAATAAATCCCCGTGACACCGTGATAAATGGTGGTGGAAGCCTCGCAACCGACACAGACTATATTGCCTTTTGGCCCCCAACCACTGTTTTCCCGTTCCATTCGTTTTATGGAAGCCTATTTCGTCACTCACCGGGTGAAGGCATGTTGTCAGCAATATTAGGACTGTCAAGCAAAGGTGTTTGATGGCAGTGCTGAGCGTCCAACAGTCCCTACTTGCTAATTTGTGCATGCATTCGACAGATGGCCTCTTCAGCAATTATGGCATCGCTGTCCCACCGCATTACCGTATTTACCCCGAAGACGCATGACCAGCCACTGTTAAAACTACGCTCTCAACTATGGCGAAAGTTTCATGTCCCGGAAAGCACGCGGATGTGGCACAGTTGCGTCCAGTCACCTCGCCTCCGAGAAATCGATTCTGAGATGACTGGCCGATATTGTCTTATTTTCCGGCCTCAGGTTTGGCAGCAGGAATCAAAGTTACGTGTTTTTGCGTGATGCACAAGTCGGAACTTTAAGTTCCAGGAGTGAATTTGTGGTGTAAGTGTATTTGGACCGTCTGTTAACGTTAGTTTGTTGAATAAATTCATGCATTAAGGAATCGTAGACTGTTTCCTGCCACAGCGCAGTAAGATGATCGGAGGATACTAGAGGACAACAAATATCCATGAACAACAAAGATCTTATGAAAGCGATAGAAAGTAATCGATATTAGGTATTATCTCCACTTACACAGATCTGTTTGGGTTTGCTCAGCCGGACGTAACGCTTTGATGTCTTGAAAGAATGTGGTGGAAGGAGATAACATGGCATGTCCGTAGTAGGTGCATGTTCGCGACAGGTTTGTGAGGCGTTGGCGCATAGAAACATCCAGCAGGATATATCTACGTACTGGACCTCGCGTTTGTGCAGAAGTGTGACTGTAATTTCCGGCATGAACCGGCCGTTTGATGAGCGTCCACAGCCTAAACGAAGGGATCCCGGGTCCGAACCTCAGTTGCTCCGCTATGACGCCCAAGTGCCAACGTGGTCGCCGCAGCCCCAGTGCTCCTTTCATGAGTGTGCGATGGCGTGCGTCTTGCAGCCATACAAATATAATGGCGGCATTTGCGTGTAGTGCATCCCACTCGAATTTATGCGGGAGCCAATTCGTCCACACGCCCTCTCCCAGAACTTCGAATGCGTTAGGCAGTCCATACTGGCACTAATCCTTGCCCTTTGGCTCCACATTTTCCCGGTTTCCTTTGCAGCACCCTTCTTCACCTTGACATTTAGCCCTTGGAATGAAATATCGTTTGCATTATCCACCACAGTCACAGCGCCTTCCGTACGTTTCAGAACGTTCACTTTCAGCTTCAGGCACCTTACCACTTATTTTTCTGGCCACCTTATTCTCTCCAGACACTCACTAACGAGGTATTTTATTTCTTGCTACATATATATATATATATATATATATATATATATGTATATATTTATATGTAAATGTACATAATGCGATGCATGCGAACATAGACCGTGTGTGAATATTTCGTGAACATACCGCGAGCTCTCTGGGAACTTAGCTGCACTTGCCAATGACTGCCGATGTGTCTCTCGAGGGCGCTGACCTCGTAAGCGGCAATTTTCCCACAAGGAACTTCTTTCCCAGTTGTGCATTGGTCGAACGCCCTCCGCGAGTAATGCTATCACATGGTATCTGGATTTCCGGAGAACGCTCCTGGACATGAAGCGTGTATTCTTTTCAAGAAGCGGGTTTTCTGATATAACTGGTCGAGGAATGCCTGGAAACGGCTTTCATTTCTGCCTGAGAACATCACCATCTCACAGAGAATTCGGAAACAAACCCGTCACAATTGTCAATCCATTGGCAATCCCCATAAAGCTGTGTACCAAATCGTACAACTATGATCGGCTCTGATCATCCAGGCCCGATGCAAAAAGGACGAGGTGTGTGTCAATATCTAGCCTTTGGCTCGTATGACAAGGCACTCTGGCCCCACCATTACTCGACATCTCTATGCCTCACAGCAATGTTATCAGAGGCCCCGCAGCCCTGTATCGTGACGTTATTATGCGTCCTACTCCCCGTATGGCAGAAGAAGCAGACTGTGCGCCATGTGGCAGTGCTGGCAGACGGTGTGTACGCCGTGTGGCAGAGAAGCGGACAGTGTGTGCGCAGTGTGGCAACAGATGCAGACCATCTTTACACCATGTGGTGAAAGAAGCAGGCGGTATGTACGCCGTGTGGCAGTGAAGCAGACGGTGTGTGCGCAGTGCGGCAGTAAAGTAGACGGTTTTACGCCGTGTGGCAGTAGTAGCATACGGTGTGTACGCTGTGTGGCAGTGAAGGAGACGGTCTGAACGCCGTGTGGCAGTGAAGCAGGCGGTGCGTACGCAGTGTGTTAGTAAAGGAAATGGTCTGTACGCCGTATGGCAGTGAAGCAGACGTGTGACAGTAGTAGCAACGGTGTGTACGACGTGTGGCACTAGTACCAGGCGGTGTGAACACCGTATGGCGGCGGAGCAGACGGCCTGTACTCCGTGTAGCAGTGAAGCAAACGGTGTGAACGCCGTGTAGCAGTGAAGCAGACGGCGTGTACGCCGTGTTGCACAGATGCCTTCTGACCGGTGTCGGAGTATTGCCCGAGGCCCTGTTCCTGCGTTGTAGTATTATCAGATGGCCTCTGTCCTGTGTTGCAACATTATGAGACCGCAACGTGACCTATGACGCAGTATCACTAGATGTTCTGCGTCCTGTGTTAGTATATTACCAGACGCCTTGCGCCTGTGCGTCTTTTAGCAGACGCCTTGCGTCCTGCATTGCTGCATTACCAGACGTGCCGCTCCACAGTATTACAAAACGCTGAACACGCGCATCTCCCTGGTGTACATCGAGACATGGTCGGCCGAAAACCAGGCGGACGTCAATTCGGCGGGCGAGATCCAGCCTGCCCTGCTCAGCTTCAAAGAGTACGGCAGCCGCAACCTCTACAAGATCACCCGGGACACTACCCATCTGATCACGTACGTGCCGGTCTGGACGACCGCAGCGGGCCGCGCGTGCTCCACGTGGCCACTTCGGACGTGCGCCTGCTGCGCGCCGGCCACGTGAACGGCACGGCCTTCAGCCGTGGCGCTAGGGTATTGGGAGATGTTCGAGGTGTCGTGCTTCATTGTCAGTCCTGAAGCAGACAGGATCCAGCCCATGTCGAGTGAAGTGGCTCTGGTCAACATCCTGGATGCCGTGCAGGGGCTTGGTTTAATAAATGTGCTCCCAGATGTAAGATGTACCTGCATCTGCATGCACCTTGATACATCATGAGGCGCACGTAAACGTTGGAGCATGAATATTTAGGACAGCGCTGCATACAATTTATGAATGAATAATAATTGTTTTCAGTTCGAGAGTCATCCAGGAGAAGCATCGAAGAATCCCACATTACTTTCTAAATTAACACAAAAATCGCGAGTCCATTGTTTAGTTTACTTTCTCCAGCTCTTTCTCGTCATCTGGAGTTTCTCTCCGTAAGCCTGACCGTGTAAAAACGGAGCTGTTTATTTGCTTTACGCCCGACTTCTCCTCTAAATTCGTTCCACCGGGATAATGGATGCTTCCCACGGAGCGGGGTCTGTTTTTACTGCTGCTGTGCTGAAACTAAAGGTACCTCTGAGCTGCCGACAGGCAATTGCATTAGCGCGGCGTGGCAGCCGCGCCGACTTCACCGCGTTCGAAACTCGAAACCGAAACTGGTCGATCAGTGAAGGAGGAATTCCACGTGCGTTTCGGGATTCGTCGTATTTTGTTGATTACCATGTCGCAGCGACTTTCTCATAAGATAGCCCATCAGTCAACGAGTCTCCACGCGATTAGTGCCAGAGGCCGAGCGCTGACAGATGGCTGCATCGAATAAACCATGACTTGGTATGTCTACTCCTAAGTATTACAAAGCCCTCTGCTGCATGCCTTTCTCCACAATAGGATCGTGTCATTGTGTACAAAATGTGTGCTTTATTTGAAAGCCAAGAGCGATTCCGACATTCTATTTGGAATGAAATAGTTTCTACTAGAGCAAAGCTGAGCTGCGTTGCAATAAGCTTGCTGGATCAGCATTTTGTGTATTTTGGAGGCAAAAGCCTGCAACTTAAACCCTCCTAGGAATGCATCAAAGTGTCTGGAACGCATCGGATTATGGATGTCGTAAGGTGAGATGCTACACTCGTGTGACGTATATGACTGTACGGTACTGTCGTTTATGTTTTATGGTATATCATTGCTTTTAGAATGACGTCACTGCGCGAATGACTATATCATAAAATTTATATTTCCCCGATAATTGTATGCCACTTTTCCGGGTTGGTAGTCCTTTTTCTGGATTGTGGTCCTGCTTCAATGACCTGCCCGAGTCTGAGTCGATAATTGCTCTCGCACCTACACCAGTCCTCAGTTCACTTAAGCATTGTGGGTATTGGGAAACCAGTCGGTATTGCTGTTTTATATTACACGGCATTCTCAACACAAAATATAGATGCCAGCATACATAGACACATATCATATATCAACACAGAATATATGCATATATATATATATATATATATATATATATATATATATACCCAGGAGAGTCGCTGCATTGGCCGGCACGGGTCGAACAACCAGGATATCAATTGGAGTACTCTTTCCGTAAGGTATTAGCAACTTTCAGATGCGATTGTACTTCTGAAGCCGTTTAAACGAAACGGTCTGGCAATGAATGCATCGTGAGCAATTCATACCAGCTGGCCAAAACTTTTGCGAGACCCGCAGCACGTCCTTGTCTCTAATCGTTGGAACGACCGCCGTCGATGCCGACTTTGGTTTCATTCGGCCGGTTTCATTGGTTTGGCGAGGCTCAAAGGGCATTTTGCCACATTCAGCGGTCGTCGTTGACGCGCCAGGTTCGCCGCCCGCGCCGCCTTTCAGCGCCGGCGCCGCGTCAGCAGGCGCGGATTCATCTATCCCGCCCCAATTATCTCGCTAATGCTGGGAAACGTAAACGCGTGTCCGCCACGCAGCTCCGGGGAATCGATCCACGAGTGGCGGCGGCCCCGCCCCCGCGGCCCGCTCTGCCGCTCCCTCTCTCTGCTCTGCCTCTCATACTCTGTATTGGTGCCTCGCTCCGACAGGCGATCTGTCGCGTCGTCGCTGCGCACCGATGCGTCGCTCTGCGTTCTCATAGGCTAACTCACTTGTGATAATTGGCTCTTTTTGTATGTTTATGTTTATGTATCTCTCTTTCGGACGTCTTTGGACCGACTTTGTCTATGATGTCCCTAGTTTCCTCTGGGCCTCTTCGCTTCCCCCTCTGTTTCACTCACCGCCACGTTCCCCGCCCTCCTCTCACAGTTCACACCCCACGATTCAAAAATTGGGATGGGGCGTAAATCGCAAGCGTGAAGTTTTTGGAGGCACTTCCTTCAGCACCACGTCCATTGGCACGTTTCCAACTTCCTTAAGCTTGGTGGAGTTGCCCTCCCCTATGGCCGGGCCATGTTCTCACAAGTCTCGCTCATGTCCATCCTGACGTTTCCAGAGGCGCCCGCTTCAACTACGGCAAGACGGGCATGGCTGTGCCCAGGCAGATATGCAACGACAACTCGTACGGCGTCACGGTCGACAGTAACGTGTACGAGCCGCACGTGACGGCCAGCACCATGGCTCACGTTCTCGGTCACGTGATCGGCATGGCGCACGATGACCGTAAGTCGGGCAAATCCGTGCGTAGTGGTGATTGAGCTGAGGGGAGGGACAAAACGCGACATGTCGAACTACCCGTCTTGTCTCTCGCGCAGTTTGTTGGGCACGTTTTTACTGCGGATGTGAACGGCGGGGGGTATACATGAAATATATTTTCTAACAGTGCTTTCCTCTCACTTCCCAGCTGTCGAAAGGCCTGCTTGTATAATCCCTTTCAGACGCGCCCGGGGCGGGGGGCAGATGACTTTCCCTACGGTTTTTCAAGTACAGGTCAAAAATGCCTCCTTACAGCAACACGAAATTTTCAGTACCCGTTTATCTATCAATTTGGCATCCCTTGTGCAAATTTGAAGCCATGATTTACAAAGATCGTTGACTTAGATCAGATCAAAGAGGTCAACCTCTTAAAATTTTGACCACACCTTACTTTGTTGTGCATCATTCGTCGTCGATCAAACTTGCTATGGTAATGGAACATGATGGTACTTACAATTTTCATACTTCAGATTTTCGGAAAATGTGAGTTCAGTGACCTCTAGTCAGGTCAACATTAGCTATTTCTTTAAATGGTGCGAGTTTGTACTATTTGTGTGCAGTTTTAGTGTTTGCATATGAGGAAGAGAGCACTATATCAGGAAAAGAGCACTAACTCACGTGCACAACCATCATATGGCCATAGAGAACATGGCCTTGTCCCAGGTAATGACCTATCTCTATGGGTACAGTCTGCAAAACTCTTGCACTGAGCTCAAAATAAGCAGTTTCGCACGGTAATTTGGAGGCAGAATTCGAATACTTGGCTGAAAACATGTTGTGATATCATTCTAATGAAAGATGATGTTATAATAGGTCATATGAGGACATGCAAGGTCGTATGAGGTCATCCAATGCTTATGAACTATGTTGCCAGTAGCGAGGAAGCTAAACAAGCGAGTGCGACGCATGTAGCCACCTCATTATTGTGCTTGTGAAGCCAACGACTTCTCATTTCATGTGCCAACCATGTTCTCAGTCTTTTACAAATACATTGCTAAGCGTCGAAGGGACTATGTATAACGTAGACGACAGCTATGCGATCTTGAGTACCTGCAGATATTTCATACACTGTTTCTGACCGCAGAAAAGCATTGTACTAGCAACGTAGAACCCGTTAGCACTTCAATTTTTTAGATTTGGATACCTTATCAGTTTGATCTAAATTGACATCAGATAACCTCAAGGGTACCCGAAAATAGTGTGTTTGTGTCTGGAATACTTCTTCCATATCTGCATCCAGTAAAACAAAACTTGGTCAGAAGTACGTTGTGAATGCAACTATCGCTTTTGCAGGCTACTGGTACATCAATTTTGGACGGCGACTTGGTCTGACCTAACCCATGTGAAGGAACAGAAACGGTCAGAATGAATTCCCGGGAGTCTTAACATTTGTTCTTGTGCCTTTAAAATCCTACATCCCTATGTATCACGTCTTCACGCGTTGGCATAGGCCCAAACTGCATCTATCGGAACGACCGTTTTTGACCGTCATGATCTCTGGTGACCTCACTTTTAACCTGAGGTAAAGTAATTTGTTGGAAATTCTTCATGATTTGACGATATCTTCAAAAACGCCATTATTGTTTTTTTGATACGGCGTCTGAAAGTTATAGATTCAAGTGGGGGCGGTCAACTTAACCCCGGCCGACCGCGGTTGTCTTTCACCCCGGGCCAGCCGCCGGTTAAGGGCGTTAAAATTTCTGAGCAGCTTTCTTTATCATCAGAGAACATCATATACCGGCAACAACAATAACAAAAACGGCAAACAGAACACCTTCCTAAAGTCTTAACCAGAAGAGCATCATTTTCTCCGTACCAGCTGGGTTGGTCGTGCAGGCCCCCATACACGTCCTTGGTCAGCGCTGGCGTGGGGGGGGGGGGGGCTCGAACGCCCCGGCCCCGTCCGGTGCCCGCCCCACGCCCGGAGGGAGCAGTGTCCGCAGGGAGCGCCGGGAAGCAGGTCCATCGACCGGCGCTGGCACCATTGTCATTCGTCACGCCGTCCGGTAGGGCGTCGCCAGATTGTGCCCGCCACCCGGCGCGCGCCGGCCCGGCCCAATTAAAACGACACGTCGTTTTCGACGGCATCGATCAAACGGAGGAGCAACGTTGGCCCCCAGGCCGGGCGCTTATGTAATATTTACTGGTGGCGCACCCAGTTGGCGACTGGGCGCTGCCGGCGCCCCCCCCCCCTCCCCTCCCCTGCATCTCTGGTCTTTGGAGGCGCCCGGGGCTGCCCATCCCCACCCCAACCCGCTCCCCCCCCCCCCGCCCCCTGCTAGCCGAAATGGACATCTAGCATTGTGACGCATTGGGATGCCGCCGTCGGCAAAGTTGCCCTTGTTATCGGACTTCTGCGTGATAATAACTGGATTGTCGTCTCCCAGTCTCCCCTGCCGCGCATCGCTCCAGAAAGGTTGCATGTTTGCCGATGTCGTTAGTGAGAGCAGGGGAGAGGGTGCTGTCGTCCGCCGTGGGCGACGATTTGTCCGCTTCGTCACTGTCGAGCCGCCATTTCTTGCCAGTTGTGCTGGAAAAGTTGCCGGTCAGTTGTGGTGTGGCAACCATTTTTCTCTTCTCCTTAGCATTGCTACGAATGCAATGGGTGGCGGTTACCACAGAGCACATGCTACACACAGCATTTTTATTCCGCACTAAAAAAAATACGTCCAATCAGTGCCACTTCAGCTCAACAGATAACGCTGCCGGCCTTTTTGCCAGCTGGAATCGCAGATCTTTTCCCCCGCGGTCTGCGAGGTTGACCCTGTTCGGTCAGTTCCCAGCTAACCGCTCTGCAGACGTGGCTATTTTTCTGCGACACGAACCCAGAGCTAATGGACGAGTCCCCGTGTTATCCGCTCGGCGACTGGGGGAGCCAGTGGTGATGCTTTGCGCAGCCAACGCTGTGGCGGTACCAAATCGAACTGGGACAGATTTGTACTGCCTGGTGTAGTGTTGATACAAGCGGCAGCCTCGCTCGCGCCACTCCTTTTCGCGGGGTAAAGGATAAAAATATGTCTTTCAAGTATTCTATTTTATGATGCGGACCCACATGTGGGCGGGCCCCACACCCCTCCTGCTCAGGCTGCCGTCCGTTCCAGGCGAGGGCTGCACCTGCTCCGACTGGCACGGCTGCATCATGTCGGCCAACATCGTCGGCAAGGACAACGTGCAGCCGTACAAGTTCTCGCAGTGCTCGCGCGAGGATTATCTCAAGGAGCTGCGGCGCATGCACGGCGTCTGCCTCCTCAACAGGCCCAACGAGGTGAGGCGGGCGCAAGCGGAACGTTTCCATACATAGCGAAAGGTTTTATGCAGCGTGAGTGATTCCATGGTAAAGTGGGCTCAGAGGAAGGTTATGTAATTGTTATGAAAAGAAGATGAGCTTGCGGTTACGAGCGAGGTCAGCCGTCACACATCTGGCCTTAAGTTTACAGCTGTGACAGGCCAGCCTAGTCTGGCCTCTCACGTTTTCACGTCCCAACGGCAGTTACATATGTAGATCCATGCGAATTGTAGTGATAATTAGCACTATAAAAATATTGTGCCGCAATGCTTACAAAGCATGTTCATGCAAGTTGTTTGATCAGCGTAGTACTTTTGCTGCATAGGAATATGACGGTAATGAAGCATCTCGAGTTTAAACAAAAACAACATGGACTGAAAGCAGGACAACGGGGTATCAGCAAAGTTTCAGTGAGAAAACAACGAGCAGCCGTCTTAGCACAACTGCACGTCCCCACGTCCAGCATGTCAGGCCCACTCGAGAGCAAATTATTCATAGCTTTTGGGTGTGTTTAAAGAATTGGGTCAGACTAGGGTAATCGGAAACGATGAAGTCTTTAAACCGCCTGAGTGGCAAGGGTGCATGCATGGTCTTTCCGTCTAAGCTGTATGTTTATGCATGCATGTATACTCCACCTATATATATATATATATATATATATATATATATATATATATATATATATGTGTGTGTGTGTGTGTGTGTGTGTGTGTGTGTGTGTGTGTGTGTGTGTGTGTGTGTGTGTGTGTATAACATAACTATTTATATCCTTACTCGCCGGACCACGCTGAACAGCAGTTGTATGCACTGTGCACGACCTTCCTTAAGAAGCTGGGATTTTCCTAGGGTCGTTTCACGGCATTTTGGCCCGCGATCTCCAGTCCCTTTGAATCACTGCGGCAGGAAAACAACAGCGTTCCTATGCACCTGCTTTCGGTTATGAACGGCGCCCTGATGCTGTCGGAATATGCAAAACAATGCCTCAGAACGGGTAGGATATTCCAAATCAATAGCCTAGAATGTGGCGCGTGGCATGGGGAAAGAAAAAGGCTTGGACCGCGCTGGGCCAGGGCTTGGAGGATGGCAGCAACGCAATTCCTTCAGCCTTCATCTTAAATGAACGCCTTCCTCGAAAGCTCGATGCTTGCGTATATAATAGATTAAGCTATGGCGTGTAAATATATGTATAGAATGAGAGAGGGAGAACAGGAGGGAGAGAGAGAGAGAGAGAGAGAGAGATTTATATATATATATATATATATATATATATATATATATATATATATATATATATATATATATGTGTATGTATACTATGCGCGTCTAACTAGTCCCTTTGTCTCTTTGTAAACACCTACATAGATGTCGATGTTCTGCACTTGAACCTGTCTTCCTCCTGCAGCCTCCTAAAACGGGCTCCTTCTTCCTCCACACAGTACCTGAACCCACCACCTAAAGAACATCGGGAGATGCCCCACCGACTTATGTGGATGGACCGGACACAGCCAGTTTGTCGGCTCACCGACGCAGCGGACTGCGCACAGGTGGTTTGGTTCCCAACGTTGCAGGGACGTTCCACATTTAAAGATATTGAGGCAAGCATCAGATATAATAGAGTAAGGTGATGTGTAACTATAGGCATATTTCAAATGAAAAACCGCTCCAGAAAACACAAATACTCTACTTAGCGTGCACCCTCGTCAATTCATCATTGTTTGATACTGTCATCGTACCTTGCACAACATTGATTGGGAGTCAATGGACGGCCGTTATATCTGGAAATCGTGCTCACAAACGCCATATATGGGCGAACTGACAATTGCAATTTGTTTAGCCTTAATCGCCGAATGGCCCATAGAATGGCAGGATTTGAATGACGCTATTGTGGCGTTTTGGTCTTAAGAAGGGCTGGGATGCGATCAGCATCGAATGATCTTCAAGATGGCCATTTCAGTTCAAAACTCCATACGGATGCGGAACGCTCCTTTAAGAGGGAGGAGAGAAGGGAATTAAAAACTACGTGGTAGTATCTCTGTGGAAAACACCAAAAGAAGACTTTGATGCCATCTAAACTGAGCTTCGGTCCCCTCCAACGAAGCCTCAAGCTCCGCCTGGCCATTGCAGGCTATAGCAGGGGCGTACAGGCCATTGTCGTGGGACGCTCTATAGAACGCACAATAGACATTCTCGAACAGCAGCTTCGCTAATACGTCAAACCACAGCAATTACACACGAATATTGCCACAGGCTTCTGGAACAGGCTGCGGTTGGCGGGGCAGCCCAGGGGTGGTAAAACCTGCCGACTTGGCGGATAAGGTCGGCGACAAAAACGCACATATTCACGCGAAGCTTGGTGCCAAAAATGTTTTTAGGCAGCAAGTTTTGTTGACAGCCAAGACGAAAAAAATACACACGCTCTGTAAAACGTATCGTGAAGTCTCCATACATAAATATTATGCCTACATGGTAATAAATTCCGTCACACAACACAAGCAGACGTTTCTGTAACAACTCTTTACCGTACTCCACGGCACCCTGGTATCTTTTCTAGGTTTCGTTCCAACCCGGCGACAAAAATTTCCTACGATTTTTAGTTGGTCGCCTGACTCGGTGGCCGGTCGGCGACAAATCAGTGTATTTCCAATGGCCCGGCCGGTCGGCCGATTCGCTGTTTTTAACAGCCGACTCTCAGTGTCCTAAACTAGACAGCATAAAGCACTGAAAAAGGTCTAGATATGGGGATTCATCTGGCCGCAACGGCGTGTTTCAATTGCTGCGATGCAACTTACATGAGGTGGGCGGTGACTTTCAATGCAGTCCAACTTTGCAAGTGGCATTCGCACTGCAGTGACAGCTCAGGGTGAGTCGGCAGGATGATCCGATCAAGGCAGGCGTTGACCTGTGATTATTCAAACCGCCTTTCCAAGACACCGAAAAGGCTGTTGACTCACTGAAGAAATCATAGGCGACCAGTCTTCCTCCCCTTCAATGAGCCGTGGATTTGATGTCGAAGCCTGGTGGCACTTACCATGGAGGAGAATAACAGCAGGTGATAATAGTTCTGAAGCACAAATTTGTGCCATTTTTGTGTTTGTCCTCACTCAGCATGGTTATCAGTCGCATAGATCTTCAAATCAGGGGCATTCCTACGTCTTATTCAGTCCGGGGCTCTACCCCCACCCCCCCCCCCCCACCCCTCTAAGCGTGAAGAAGTGTGCTAATCTGAGAGGCAATCATATTTTGTGGGTACAGTGCATACTTTTTTCACTTCTCCCTAACCTATTTTCAAAACTATGCCCCTGCTTGAAATGCAATTATGTCATCAATGCTTTGATAGCTTTAAAGCAATTATTCACAGTTCAAACTTTTGCTCACATGAATCTTGGTTGCTGGAAATTTATATGATACCCAATGACGTAGGCCATGGGAAGATGATGAAAGTGAGAATTGGAATGGTGTAGGAATGATATGCAATGAGAACGGTGGGGGTGGGGGTACAGATTTCATTGCCACCTCCCCTTCACCAAAGTTTTACTTTAAATAGCATGATGTTTTATGGTATTATGGTCCAACTGTCCTATGGGGCCAGTGAAAGGTTGTCATTTGGTTGTCTCTGAGAACAATGTTGGCTATTTCCTGATGATAACACCCCTGCTGTAACAGGAAAGCTCTGGAGTCATTCATTCTGCACTGCTCATTCATGTGCACATCTTCTTTGCATTTGTGAGCATAGCATTGCGTGGATGCAAATATGGTATGTATCATCACGGGTTTTGCTTACACTGAATTGTAAATTTGTCCTGATGGAACCATTAGTATAATCAATGTATGCATTTAAGTGGAGGCTGTGAAGGCAGACGGCCTACCTTATATGCAGCCTACAATGACAGTAGAAATCAACGTAGTTTGTGTGGTAGTGGCATAATGACAGTAGTGCCAATGTTTTATGCATGATTGGACGGAGATAGCAACCCATGAATCATGATCAATAAATTAAGTCCGGAGAAGAGGGTTTTGTGTAAAAGTTAGTTTTTTTCTTCATATCTTTCTGGTGCGGACACAATTAATTTCTAAGGAAAGGCGCGCCGATCGGCTATAAATTATACATAAGTTATGCGACACCAAATTGAGCAGGAGGGGCACCAAGGTACAAGGACACAATTATAATTATATCTCGCGACTTATCTCACACTCATCAACACGATATTCGGCAAATTACTTCATGGGGATGAATCGCGAAGGACGTTGCATTAAATAGCAAACACTCCGCATCTCAAAATTCAAGCGGACCTTTGATACGTGTCTTAATGTCTATTATATGTAGATGTATAGATATGTCCCTTATATAACACGTAACTCTCCCCTCCCTCTCTCTCTCTCTCTCTCTCTCCTCTCGCTCTCTCTCTCTCTTCTGCGTAAGTAGAGAGGGGAGCGGCGAGTAGCTCGACGAGATCGAGCGCTCTATAGCTCTCTAGCTATAGTCGAGCTTATCTCTAATCTATCCCTCCTCTCTATCTCTCTCTCTCTCTCTATCTCTCTCTCTCTCTCTCTCTCTCTACTCTCTCATCTCTCTCTCTCCTCTCTCTATCCTATCTCTCTCTCTCTCTCTCTTTAGCGCTAAAACTGGTGCACATGGCCTCACTACGCCCTTTACCCGTTGCCGTTAATGGTAAGTTCTTTGTGCAGCAGTTAGTTGAACTGTTTGTCTTCTAAGTGGCACATGTCAACACAGACTCACACGAAGAAAACCCATAGACTTTTTGAGCAGGTCTCTGAGCGGCCGGCATTGCTGATATATAGTCCTGCCAACAGTTTAGTGGTTCATCTTCCCGTTGTCGCTTGTCAGACGAAAGTTGCAGCGAGTTTGTGCAGGGCACAGCTGTCTAGACTGGCGGGAAAGGCGCCTAGCGCAGCACCGTTGACCGCACAGTAGCGTCAAAATGCTGGAAATGCTGTTTTCCATTGGATCTTGGAGCCCC